TAACTTAGGTCTGCCATGCTATAATTCTATGTAGGTCATTCCAGATTATCAGTCAAAGTCTGATATATGAATGGCTTGAAAAAAAACTAATTATCCCTTACCCACTTAGGTATTTTTGAATGGAACGTTCCTTGTAACATTCTTTTTATAAACACAAAATGGCCTATTCTCCTGTTTATGGTCTTCCCAGTGATAATTATAACATATAATGACTTCCCTTTCAATAATAAATCTTCTTGAAACTCAGCTGATGTTTACCCAATGAAAAGGTTACAAACATCCCAACTATCATAGACGGTAGTTCTATTGTGCAGTATTTAATGATGTTACTAACTGCCACACATTGTTATGTTTATTGCAAGGAATACATATGTTATGGGTTGAATTGTGTCCCTCCCACCAAAAGACATCTTGAAGTCCTAAGCACTACTACCTCAGAAGTGACCTCATTCAGAAATAGGTTCATTGAGATATAATTAATTAAGTTAAATGAGGTCATAGTGGAGTAGGTCTGTGCAAGAACATGGCCACGTGAAGACGGGTATGAGGAGAGCACCGTGTGAAGATGGAGACAGGAACTGGCATTATGCTGCTGCAAGCCAAAGAATGCCAAGAATTGACAGTCACCACCAGGAAGCTAGGAAACTTCTTTTATTATTATCATTATTACTCAAAATATTTTAGCATTTACTTGTACATATTTTTGAGGTACAGTGTGTTGCTTCAATAAATGCATATACTGCACAGTGATTCATGTAGGGTAGACAGCAGTTTCATACCCACTGGTCCACCACTACTTCTCTCCACCTTTCTTTTCCCCTCTCTGCCTCTGGGAACCATTATTCTATTCTGTACTTCTACGAGATATGAGAACTACTTTTTTTATTATTTTTTAGATTCCACTTATGAGTGAGATCATCAGTATTTGGCAATATGTGTCTTCTTGTGCCTGACTTACTTCACTTACTATGATAGTTTCCAGTTTCCATCCATGTTGCTGCAAATGATAGGATATCACTTTTTCTTTTTTATAATTGAATATACTCCACTGTGTATATATACCACAGATTTTTTTTTAATCCATTTATCCGTTGATGGACATTGCTGCCAGATGACTATCATAGAAGTTAAACTTTCATCACATGTCACTCAACT